CGCGGAATTTCACCCCGACGACGATTTAACAACAATTTAGTATATTTATTTCAGACGCTGGCTAGTCTAGAAATCATAACATTTTCAGGAGAGTCTTCATATGAATTTTCATACGGCCCACGGAGAGAGAGAGAGCGGCTGAACCAGAGAATACGGATAGTACAATTAATAAAAACTCGATGCGACATGATAAGCTGGGGCCATGTGTGCGATCAGTAATGCAGAAAAACATTTTACGAATCATCGTACTAGCCAGGAAATTTGTGCACTCAGACGTAGAATTAGTAATATAAGACTTTATTTAAACTGGCATAACTGGTTGAATCAGAAGACAAAATAATTGGAATATTAGTCCATGCTTTCTCTGCTATAGGTTGAGCGATGTAACATATATGCCGCTCAACGCATAATTAACTGACTAATAAAAAATAAAGTGCAGTGAATCCTTAGCAAAGACATGCAAATTAAGCTGTCTTGCATGATATTATGACTGGTAGCGTCCGAACAAACCTACCTGCACCGGTGCTCAGGGATACTAAATTACGCGAATCTCACCACCATATGTTTTCTTTTTTTTTTAGTTCAAAACTTAGAGAAAACATACAAAGCTTTCAATTTTTTAGGGAAATAAGGGAAGAATTAATTAATTTTTCAGGTGAGAATAATTTTTTTATAATTAATTCCACGAATATTAAAAAATGAGCTACTTGTAAATGAAGAAGTCCCACTACATTTCGTTTTAAACATTCTTAATGCTGATGCACACTTCTACATTTAAGTTTTTTGCGGACTGTTAAATTTTCGCTCTAAATAGGAGAGCAGTGGCACGGTTTTAAGTGCGAGCCTTACGGCTGTAAATCATAGATCAATTAATCTCTTCACAAGAACATCCACCAACTGAAATACTGGTCCCGCTGAAAATTGATGCTGGAGATTCAGGGTTGTAAATGCCTCGCTGCTACGTCCTAATTATTGAGCTCATTATGAGAGATGAACAAAGGTTGGCTGGAGCGCTTGTTTGACTTAACTGTCGCATCTGTTGATTGTTGTTAATTTATGTCTACTGTTGAGTGTGCCGCTATATCACATATTAAAAAAGTAGAGACTCGTCATTAATACAGCATCTGTGCATAGGTGAAACCGTTGGGCTGAACTTATTCTCAATACTTCTCGCTGATATGCTCACAGATGAATCAATTCAAGGCAAAAATTTCATAAAATAAAAGATTTCCAAGGACTATTTGTTCGAACTTGCATTGTAAGACTCGAGTCTAATGACTTCAATTTAAGTACGATGAAGAAAATTTGTATGCAGTTTTCGTGAAATTTACGTTTTCTTTTTACTGATCATTTGTGTCAGTGACCCCTGAAAATTTTATGACTAATAAACACCCTTGAATAATATCCTCACCGCCAAGAAGATTAGATTTTTATTCTGTTGAGTCCTCGTATGTGAATAAAGAATAGTTGAACACACACTTGACTTTAAAGGAACTTGAGTAGGTCTATCAATATTTATCTCTACACAAATAGGATGTTTGACACTGAGAGGACTAGTTACATCTGTAAACTTGATTGGTTGAACTGTGTGTTGGACTTGTACAATGGCCTAGGCACGAACCTAGGAACATAAAATTAGCGAATAAGATCATATCTTCAATTTAGAAGGGTTCGTTGGAGTGTCGGTGGAGCGAATATATGCGTTCAAATATTTCAATGCAGGAATATGTGCGCTATGACTCCAATTTTACAATTCACGCGAATTCAGTATGCTCTGTAGTAACCTTGATAACGTGAAAAGAAGCACCACCCTATCCTTCATTTCGTAGACCTGACGCATTATTAAAGCCAAAGAAAATACAGTATATGCAATTTAATGCGACTGTTGTCTCTGAATAAGGAGCGAACTTGCAGTAGCGCTTACTTCAGGCTATGCTAAACGAGCTCATTCATCCACTTCAACTAGCGTTCAGTGAGCTCAACCCATCACATAAAATGAGCAATCGCCAAGGTGGGAAATACCATAATTCTTTATGACTTCATTAGCAAATGAGAGCCTTCATCGTTGGAGTGAATTACGAGTGTACGTTCGGTAGAAACGTCCTGCGCACTATATTTCTACTACGGCTTAATAAGAGGATTAGCAACTCTTACAGAAGTCGAAGAGGCTCTAAACAACTACTTAGTCTACCAAAAACTGCTTTGCTTATAGGCTATAGCCAAGGCTTTTTTAGAATAAAGGGCCCCTAGAATGATTGTTGACCATTCGTAATCACTCACAGATACGTAATCTCCAGTTTCGTAAATTACTTTTCCGGGATTTTCGATGATTTTTGGAAAAGTAGCGGCTTTGAATATAAATAATACAGTGAAAAACGTCATCCAGAACTTATCTCTCAAACTATACTTCTAGAGGCCCATAAAGTTGTGAATATGCCGTCCTATTTGAGATTGGGGAGCCACGTGCTGTTCGGACCGTATATTATTTGCTGTGCGTTCCACCCTCCCCACCATAGTCGTGCTTCTTTAGATACCGGTCAGCGACACCATTCTGTGTTGCTTATTCACTTCTTTACGAGTTATAAGTTGCCAAGTGAAACCATTCAGGAGGAACTGACAGGCGTCCTAATTCTTGGAATGTTGCGTAGAAGTGGCCTTTCATTTCATGCTTACCATTGCGTCAATAATTCATAAAGTAGATCTAGTTACAGTAAAGCTACAAATCGCTTCGTGATACCAGTTCAGCAGAGTAAAAAGCGACCAGTGCGCAGTAGCGCGTCGCACGTAATCCTATTACGCGACGCAAACACCACTGTTGGTTAGGCTAACAAGTCCGCGTGTGTGCAACAATTGTGGTGGGCGCAGAGTAAACCAAGCTCACGCGGATATGCCAATAACATTCCATTTCATCCCGAGATCTGAGTTTACATCTATTTGGCGCTGCTTGTTCAAAGTTCCGCCCTTTCAATTAGTTTGCTCAAGAAAGTCTGTGGAGAATCTCGCTTAACATCCGAGCTTCTCATTTGGACGCGGCCGAGGCCTGGATGGCCAAGCAAACAACTCTTGCATTAAGTGTGCCCGAGTGTGAACAATACCAGCATTTAAAGTGAAAGTTCAGGGGAAATTATTCATGCGGAAAATTTTTATATTGAAGGCCTCATGTACTTAACAAAAGCATCAATAATGAAGTAAAATCCAAGTATTATTAAACATAGCTGCACGAAATTAAGTGTACAGCTTTCGAAATTTGCTTCGGATAGTATTAATTACTCTGACTTTAATCACTCGGCTCTACACTTTCCTTATTTATATTTAACTCATTAAAAAGTAGCTTCCTGGTGGCCAAAGACGTAGTGTGGAACTTCTTTTAATTAAAAGAGACAATTGCTGTTATTTCAAGCATGTTGATCCTACTTGGTCATCGCTGACGAAAAGCTCATCATCTCGTAAAATATTTTTCATCAAGACTCGCGGTTGAAAGCTTGCCAATGCCTAATAAATCGCCGTTTAATGTCGCGTGTCGCACTTCTAATTACAAATTTTTTGTCAATGATGACGAAGCACGTGGACTCGTAATTCGTAAGTCTGTAGTTACGAAGCTCGTAAATTTTACGTGGGACTCAAATGACATCACCTAAACGCTTCTTTATTATTAACAAGTCAACGTCGTGGCCAATGACTCATCATCATATTACTTATAATTAAAACGATGACGATGGTTCATGGCGATGACGCTGCAAGATCTATTTAAGCCTTTTCATGACTTTGTTCGGCTGCAATTAGGGAATAGTGTTCGTTTAATTAAATTAAATTTTCTGCTGAAAGTTAATTTCTTCAGAAATTTTTGTTATTCATTTTCTTTCAAAATCCGGCGTTGAATGAGAATTTAATTTTTAATTGTTATTGTATGAAAGTGATCGTTTTCTCCAAAGGTTGATTTTAGTTAACTAAGATGCAAAGATTTTCTTGATGGTTTCTACCTCCATTAATTTATATAGCATAAGTCAACTATAGCAAATCACTTTAATATTATTTGATAGTATTGGACAGGTGTTTGCTTATGTACTCAAAATTAACACTCGAATAAAAATTAGATTATGAACTTATAAAGAAAAATCTCATTGACATTGCAATAAAATTTTAGTGCAGCTAAAGATTGCCAGAAGACAGTTTTGTTTATGGGATGGTTGTGTTGAACATATCATGCAAAATAAAAATTATCAGAAAAGGTTGGTACAATAGAAGTAAAATTCCTATCAGGGTTAAATAAACCTAGTGTGCATTAATTTGCTTCACTTTAAGTTATTGGATCACAAGATCATAGAGTATTCGAGGCTGGAACCCAGAATGCAAATTTGCATTGTTACTGAATGGGCTTCTTAGAATTCAAGTCATCGGTTAGGTTTAGCAATGCAGACAGTTTGAACTGGTAAACTTGAATGCCTAGTGCCTACTTGTATAAAAACGTGCTCTTAATTCAGATTGAAAACTATACGGATAGCGATTGTCCAAAGCCTGTGAGCTATAATGGAGATAAATTGTAAGCTCAGACGTAGTCAACTACAAGCAAACTGAGGATAGAAGTATGGCAACTTCAGTTGCTGCAGAGAAAGAACTTTTATCATAGAATTTAAGTGTGAGGACTTCAGCTGCTGCTGAGAGTGAAAGCTTTTGTATCAGAGTTTACGAGTAGGAACTTAAGTTTCTTCTGAAAGAGAGAGGACTTTTGTGTAAGAGTTTTAGTGTGGCAACTCAAGTTGCTGCTGAAAGAGAGAGGACTTTTGTGTAAAAGTTTTAGTGTGGCAACTTAAGTTGCTGCTGAAAGAGAGAGGACTTTTGTGTAAGATTTTAAGTGTGGCAACTTCAGTTGTTGCTGAAAGAGAGAGGACTTTTGTGTAAGAATTTAAGTGTGGCAACTTCAGTTGCTGCTGAGAGTGCGGGAACTTTTGTGTTAGAAAATAAGCGTTCTACCGACAAATTAAGGACAGTTACTGCAATCGAAAATGGCATATTATTTAATAGCAATTAGTATACAAAAACGCTGGGAGAAAAGGTGAGGAAGAAACTAGTTCATGAAGCTAATGATAATTACCAAATTGAAAATATAAATTACTAATAATACTTGATATAATAAAAATAAGACGGAGCAAACACACTTTTTTAACTGTTGACATGAACGTGCATTAATTACTTTTCTTGTAAACGCGCGAAGAAAAGAGTTCGAATTGGCGTGCGGTTTTCTTGTCCGTATTGAATCGGACGAGTAAGAAGGATTAACGCTGGAAAACATTTTGGAGCTTGAATTGCACAGAAAAAATGATCACATAAATAATCTATAAGTATACTTCCAACTGAAACTCCTCAAATCAATTAATACTGAAATTTATCTATACCAATTTGTTTAAGGAGGAATAGGCATAATTTGAGTTTATAATTTAACAAACAAATCAATTAAATAAATAATGTTAGAGATAAACGAACCTTAGAACGACTTTGGTGATAGACTAGTTTAATAGGTTTGGTTATTGTTATTTAGTGCAAGTCATTTCCTATGGCGAAGAATCGAAGTCTTGCATAAGAATTCATGGTACAATCACAATTATTTATATGCTAAAAATACTTGCTAAGGTCTAGCACTTTTATGAAAGTAGTTGTATTTTTTCTAATATAATTGTTCAATACTAAATATATGTGACGGTTGAGTTATATAATTTTAATGGTGAAGACTTTGTATAAGAGTTCAACGTTAAAATTTATTTTTTTCCATTTTTTAGTAACCTAGTACGCAAGAGATGCAATAAGCAAATAAAGATATTTTTGATAACTTCAAACATAAACTAAAAATTTCACATTTTTGATGTTTGGGAACCCCATACCTACTTCTGAATCACTGCTAACGAAACTACTTATTGTATACATCCATTGATTTTGATCGGTCTCGGGTTTGGTTTCTGTTTCAGTCAAAGAGTCGGAAAAAATCTGAAATAAGATAGATTGTAAAATAAAAAACTATCCGTCGGTATGCTTCTAATTCAAGGTTCATAATTCATCGATTTCTAAAATTCATATTTCAATGAATTGGATCTTTGTTGAGGATACATTGAGATAAAGTACCAAGACAACGTTCAATCATCGAAGGCTGCTGCCTGCCATCTGACAAGTGAATTTAGATAATTAAATAATTTACAGTGTTAGACAAATTGATTTTCGTGTTTTCATTTGCAATTTATTCACGAACTGCGGCAAAAATCGGTCTAGAAAAGGACCAGTGACCATCATAAGAGGATTTTGCCTGGTCCAGTACATTAGTCCAAGACTTGCAATTTCATAATATGTCAGGTTAATCGTAAGTATTTAAAGCAATATTTGCTTATGAATAAATGTATCTAAAAGAGAATAGTATATCAGTCCAAGTGCTCAGTCCTTTAGATAACTATCTATTGGAATCGCTCCCAGAATTTTCTAAGGCGTTTCCTGCCACAAAGACAAGCAGTCCATGAGTTCCGAGTCTTCAGTGTCATTTCCATCAAATAGCTCGTTTTGTTCGTCGATTAGAGAAGTTTCCGTAACAGGAGAAGTGAATGCAATATCGGGCAAAGATGAATCAGAGCAGGTGGGAGTTGAGACAAATGCATGGGATGCATTGTGCGTAGTAGGTGATACTGAAGCGACATTCGAAGAAATTACGTCCGAGTTGTTTGCGATGGGTGCTACGCTAAATGACTTCTGGTTCAGACTAGGAACGATGGATGAGATGACCGGCGAGGTTGGGTCCAAACTTGGTACGATGGATACGATGTTGGAGGATTTGTGGTTGAAGCTGGAAACGATGGACATGAGAGGCGCTGCAGCGCACAATGCAACCGGACCTTGGTTCACGCTGGGACTGATGACACACAAAATTTTCATTAGGTAATTGGTCTTTGAAATGTTTTATCATTTTGAAGATGAAGCTCATGAAAAGGAAGTGCTGAATATATTTAAAAGTTCGATATTATAAAGAGTCACGGAGCAAACAAGATAACATTCGTTCAATATGTTCCATCTTTTAAAAAAAATGTATCAAATACTTTTACACGATTCTAAAATAATTCCGAAGCTAATGGTAAATTCCTGTGGCAAACTAAACCCCCCCAAAAAATTGTTTTGCTGTAGCATTTATTGAATTTAAACTTTTAATTATCAACTATGAATTGCATACAAGTATTCTGTATATGTACTTATTTTTAATTTGCCAGTTTGACAGGCCTACAAAAAATAGAGAAAGCTAGTTGATGCTTATTTAACATCCGGCACTACGTGTGCATATTCCAAATCGACGGACGTAAATGAAATCATCCAAATAATCAATTAGTGTCTTAAGAATCTACTTTTCTCAAAATTCATATAATTTTTAATGTTATTAAACATTGGTGTGAAGAAGACAGGTTGGAATACTGAACACTTTATCAGGTCTTCGTAGATCAACAGTCGATCTTAGATTCAACTTATCTAAAGTTACCTTGGAAATTCGATGAGCTGGTATCCTAAGGTTTGTGGCTCGTTGAGAGGAAGATTAAACGATCCTTGTCTGAGCATCGAATTACCGGAGCTTATATCAAGATTGGACGAGGGTTGCGTGCCATCTTTCTCATGTCTGTTAGGAGCGATGTGGAGGCATTGTTCGCGCTGTTTGGAGAGCATCGAGGCGTTGAGCAAACGGGTGCTATCAATTGGCAGCATCGTTTGTAAATGTTGTCTTTGGAGCACTTCATGTAATGGGTGACGATGCTCATCTCTTTCATGCTTTACTTGGCTCGCGTCCTGCTCAAAGCTACCATTACTGGCAGTTGTCCGTGGCTCGAATGAGCAAGTTTGAGGAACGAGGGCAGAAGGAAGGTTATTGTTTGCATTGTATTCTTCAATCATTCTGCTCAGGGCTTTAATGTAGTCTACAGCACAACGCAATGTCTCCACTTTGCTCAATTTTTTCCTGCGGGCGGCTTGAGGAACGTGTTGGCGAAGAATGGCGAAGCCTTGAGATACCTGTGAAAGTTTGACTTGATTAATTTATCGAATATTACCATAAATTGTCACAATAAATTCCTTCAATAATTGTTTGTGAAAAATAACGATAACAGCTATAACTCTGTTATATGTTAAGTAAAAGTGGTCGCCCAGCCATCTACTGGAATGCATTTTTAATTATATATAAGAGATAATAGCTTCGCTAATGACATTTTAGAATTCGTAATGTGTTAATGAAAGAACCGTAACTATGCATTATGCTGCCATCTTAATTTTTTGCCAACAATCTATAATTTCAGATAATTTTGGATGTGGCTAAAAAATTAAAAAAATTATTTTAGCACTGAATTTTTAAATATTTGGTGGACTACAGCAACTTCGTTGTCTTTAGATCACATTGGAAATTTTTGAAGTTACAGATAAAGCATTTACATAGGTTGTTTGTCAAGGAAGTGCATTCTTATGAAAAATGTTTCAGAGCGGATCGTTGATTTAGCGATAGTTGTTGCGGAAAATAAAATTGCATGTGCGCCGATGACAGTACAATGACTTTGCAGGATGCGGTCATATGATCATTCGCGGGCTCTTTTCTGCTGGGATTGTCCATAACCCATTTGCATTTGGATTAAAAAACTCTAACTGCGCATTTTGAATAGATCTGACGGTCTGATTTGAAAATAGGCATAAGTAAAGCAATTCATTCTGAGGTATGAGGTAAGCAGTGTGTGCTAAAAATATTGTAAAATTTCTTTAATCTCACGAGGGGATAAAGAAAGTTTGAATACAAGTCTGTTAATTTCCACCAGAAAATTACAAACTCACAGCCAATGAAAAACAATCAGCCTTTACAAAAAAGCATACCCTCTCAATTCCGATCAACCGAAAGGCAATCTGCTCAGTTAAATAAAGATTATGGTTATTCAATAAAAGAAATATTAAAGTTGGGTGCTTTATTCGCTGCCTAGTCAAAACTTCTGATTGAAGGTTTAAGACCGCATCAGGATCGCTACTTATGCAGCGTCGAGGGCTCCTATAAAAAGTTTCCTGCCCAGTAACTGGTCCACGAACTTCGTGACTCAAAATAAAAGCTACCATATTTTTCCTTAGATCCAAATACTTGAACGAATTCGTGAATGTTCCCATTTTTTAGAGTTTTTCTACAAATGTTAGAGGGAAAACTAAATTTTCGTATTATATGAAATGAGTAAGTGTTCAGCGGACGATAATCTCAAGTACACTGCTAAATACCTTAGATCCAAATACTTGAACGAATTCGTGAATGTTCCCATTTTTTAGAGTTTTTCTACAAATGTTAGAGGGAAAACTGAATTTTCGTATTATATGAAATGAGTAAGTGTTCAGCGGACGATAATCTCAAGTACACTGCTAAATATCTTAAAAACACTGAAACTGAGCCCAAACGTCCTCCTAATATCAATGGATATTGTATCAATGTGTACAAACATGGTAATTATGATAGGGTAAGAATCAGAATTAGTATCACTGACTTGGTAATAATGTGCCTTTTTTTATAACAATTAAAACTAATTTAAAAATAAGCGCACACATCGTTCAAAGGAACTGTAAACTCACTGAGCTACCATTCTATTTTTACTTGTAAATTGTATTTCTTGAGTTTATTAGTAAAAAAGCTATTGGCGGAAGAAATGGCAACTTTGAATGGTCAAAGGAGATTCTTCCTTACAGCATGAGATAGCTTAATCTAAATCTTCCTCAATTAATGTGACAACGTTAACCCTTGCTCATTTAGTAGATTACATAGTAGAAGCTCTCACCAGTCGCACTCTATTTCTCTCTCTAGCATTTCGGCGCGAAAGTGGCAGTTTTTGTGAGCTCTTGCAGTCATTAACTTGACTTGAGGCCGACTGAAGAAGCGGAGACTTGACTGCGATACCAATTGATAATGGTTTAGTGTCTGGCAAGGAATCTTCTGCAGTATTTTGAGGATCGAATGGTTTGTTCGGAGATATTATGTTACAAGAATGGCACAATGCTTCAGAATTTAATGAGATTGAAGGAATTAATGTCAAACTGTTCGCGCTTCCTCCATTAAGGTCCGAAGCCAAGCCGATAGATGGGTCTAGATTACAGTCAGTCAAATTAGAGTCTTGTTGGACAGAAGCTAATAAAATTGTAGAATTATCGAGGCTGTGAGGTGTTTGAACATCGCCACCACTTGTTGACGAGTCAGAAACAGGCAAACTCGCAGAAACTGCGGTCGCAGGAACTTGGATCTCTTGGATGGAAGCTTTTTTTATAGGCGTGCCCGGCTCTTTGATGCCGCGTAACGACGGACTCGAATGGCCTGGAACAGCAGCAACTTCATTGCTTATGCGGACCTCTTTTAGATTCCTTGCGACTACTTTATTGTCCTCACAGTTTAATTTCAGTGTAGAATTAGCGATGGTCTTGATAACAGTTGTCTCTTGACTCCCTTGATGAGGAACTGTCGCTGTCGTTTGATTTTTCAGAGCTTTCCTGTTCTCTTTGTCTTCTTCAAACAGAGTTGGTGTTTTATGTGGGGCACAAATAACTGTTATTTTTGTCTCATTTGATTCTTTAAGGATTGATTCCGCCTTTGTTTCGTTCATGATTTTAGGCTCGCGATGAATAGAAACTTGTGGAATGTCACTCCTCTTAAATTTATCAGCTGCAGCTTTCACTAGAATTTTTTCGATAAAAATTGGTTTTTCATGCTCGTTGAGCAATGGTACTTTATTGATGGCTTGGTTTTCTTTCCCAACATGTGCTTCATGAAAAATTTTTGGCTCTGAAGAGGGTCTATTGATACAGTAGACATGATTGGATGACTCAGAAAGGGAGATCTGGACGCTAGATTTCAATCGTTTAGACTGGTTCTTTTTCTGGGTCTTTATCGTGTTGACGCTTATTTCTTGCAAAGGTCCTGCAGTTGATGCACTCATTGTGGAACAAAAACAAGATGTTAAACCAACTTAAGACAAATTCTTAAATGAAATGTTTCTTTTACACACGCTGAATGTATACACACACTCCTCTGCCAGGATCGCAATTGCACTGAAAGGATGGAAAGGAAACTAGCGTAGTAGGATTCTTTGTTCCAGGTGCAGTAGGTAGGATACGCCTAAACATCTGCCGCTCGTGGCAGAATTCAAAGCGAGATGCGCGTGCCGCGACTCCACCCTGGCGCTAACGTCCTCCAATGACGTCGGTTGCCGCCTTGCTCCTGAGCCAATCCTAGGTTTGCGTTTCGAGCACGTGCCGCGCTATCTGCATCCACAACGACGGTTTTCGCTGAGAAATAACATTATTTTTTACTTTCAAAATGTTCATAAACTAATTTTTTATTAAAACATAGAATTCGCTGTTTTAATATGCAGGTACCAGAGAATTAATACACGTGGGTTGTCAAAGCAAGACAGGAACGCAGTAGCCGATGGAAAAAGACAATTCACCACAGTAGGGTTCAGTGGCCTCACAAGCATCTACCTTTGTTGATGATTGCAGGCAATAAGAATCCTCATTTATTGCAAACTTCTGCTCATATTGTTTACAATTACCATGAAAACGGCGAAAACAACAGCGAACAGTAGAAGGCTACCCAGGCTGTTGACTGGAAAATGTGTTGCGTGAATGTGGCGCTTGAAGCAACAAAAATCCAGTATTGATTCCTGCCACGAGCCCTTGTGCCTCGTTCACGGGCATCCGCAACCGTTAAACCGTGTGCCAAATCTCCGTCCTCAGCTTAAGTTATTTATTTAAAAAGTTTTACTTGCTACGAATTTTGATGACGACTGTATCCGGAAATTGAAATAGAAACTTTATAATATAATACTTTGAGGCAAACAATGTTTCAACATTTTAATGGCACGAAGCATAATGCAAGATTGATGTTCAGTAGCCGAAGAGTTTGGCACATCAGCTCGACATAACCGTTACGTTGGAGTTTAAAGTGATCATGCTTCAGAGATTTGTTTGTAAGAAATTTTACCACTAAGAAAAGCTTAACAAAAAATTAAGGCATTCAAGGAAAAGGCTAGGAAATTTGTATTGAAGGATTTAGTCATAAGAATCTCTATAGTTATTTTATACGCTTCAAAAAGTGTTCTTCTACTCAAGATTACCCCGTAATATTACTAATTATTTGGCAAAGAAATGATTTCGAACAAGAAAATTCTGTGGCTCTCACAAAATTACTTCACTGAGAGTTTTTATGTTAACATACAGATATCTTGCAGGAACTTTATCATTTGCTACTTTAACATGTGAGTCAAATTTCGCCACGTCAGCGTTACGACCATTATTTAGACATCGCTGTCTCATTAAATTTTAGATTAAAATTAAAATATTTCCGACTCAATTTAATTTATTAATAAGGGCCTATCCAGCATTTGCACTACGAGAGAAAATGTGGACACGAAAAATCTTTCGATTACAAGTAATATTACAACATAATTAAACCTCTTGAAGACTATAAAAATGATTAATAACAACATAAATTTAAAGATAACCAAATTACGTGGTGCACGGTGAAATATTTTTTGTTAAAGCAGACTTGCTATAAACACGACTGCAGGCCATGGCCTCGCATTGAAATGATAAGTAATAATAGTATTGTTGACAAAAACATCAGTGATTATCATAAATATTGCAAAGGGCCCGTGTAACGCTTAGTAATGTATTTGCGTTAGTAATTTAAGCAGAAATAGTGACCTCTGTTGCAAACAGGCATTGTTTGTTGAGGCGACGCGCATTGAGGTGAGAGTTCATTCATATTCATTACACATTTTCTGTTAGGTTATATGTACTTTATTATTTTCGTATAACTATTATTTGGAGTCAGAGTTCCTTTAAGGTTATTACTAGGCACAATTGTTTTCATCCATAGAAAAGCTCCAGTTTCAATTATAACCAAAATTCGTTCCCTTACATTTCCCTCAATTATGTATATTCTTAGCCTGATATATATTGACGGAAGATTGTATTTTATGTTTTCAGTATTAATAATTTACAGAGATATGATCTTTCCAATACCTGAGTAGTGAACAATCGATAGAATAAAGCTGTTGCCACGGCCAGCAGCAATATAAGATACTCTGATTGTTTTCAACGTAATCGAACAATATCATACTTTTAAATAAACTCGCTCCTTGGAATAAAAAAGCTAGTGTATTGTGGAGCGTCGAACATCAATAAAAATACAAAATACATGAATCTAAAAAAGAAGATAAATTAAAATTGAAGTCTTACGAGGCTACAAAAGTCGAAGCGAAGTTAAAATAGCCAGCGAAACCCAACGCGGCAACTGTAATTCATGGTTCAAATTTTTGGCGACATCGCTTATATGGTTCATTCCACGACAGTACCTTTTTAAAAAGAAGCGAAATTTGTTTTCGGTCCTCTCAAAAAGATACAGGTACGTCATCATCCTCAATTGCATCTTCTTCAATCAGCGACTCGACGCACAATTAATTCACGGGCCAATCTAGACAACATTGTTGTGCTTCGTACACTCCTGCATTCGAGAATTGTCTTATATCATTTCTCTTCCGAATGACATTTGAATAAGGCTCTAAATTAGCCCTTGAAATCGATCCAACATGCGTCGGACTGCTGGGAGGATCATAACATCTATAACGAAGTGAACGCCTTCATCCATGCATTTGCCTCCGTGACGCAGAAGACATTGTTAGTCATGTCTGACCAGTGAGACCGACGGACTGAATTTAGCAAAGATATCAAGGCCGCCTAAGACAATTTGGCTTGGATGGTTTTGCGAAGATTTGCAGGTGCTACATGGCGGAGATGAGCAGACCATAAACTGGGTCCTGGACCATCAACCATCCTGTTCTTTGTAATGTAAATGATGCTTGATCGGTAAAAAATTAATTCTGTCTGAATGCTCCCAAGTTTTGTTGAGTTTTATTACTATGTGAATCTGAACAAATATGGTAGAAGATACAAGTTGTAGGATGTGATTGAGGTCTCATGCAATTCCATACGCGTAACAAATTGTGCTAGAACAGAAATCACTCGCCGTCTAGACAAAAAATTCACTCGCAATTCTATAGCATCAAGCAATCATTCATCTGCAGAATCATCACTCGAGTAAAGAAAATTCTGCGCTCCAAAAATAGCCAAACGAGCTATCGTGTAGACAAATACTCATGAGACACCGTGGGACACTCTAATGACTTGATGACTTAGCACGTCTATAATGAGACGCTTGCGAAACGTTACTTTGATCTCTCGTCGGCTGCGGCACCGAGGTCTACGGCGACGGCGTCTGGCGAGCTCCATAAATCAAGGGACTTGCAAACAGCCTCGTCGCTTTAGAGCTTCTCTGATCTTCGTCTGCTTTTAATGCCACCTTAATTCATCCGATGTGCTTTGGTCTGAGCGTAGAAGCAGCCGCTAATGATCGTATATGACTGGAAAAGTCATACACATGCGCATGATTATACAGTGCAATGAGAGAGTTTCAATTATTTACTGACAAATTCTGGTTATAATTCACAATGCCGCTCATCTATGTGATGATGTGAATGCAATGCAACATGGCGATGAAGCACAAGGGCCATGGCCGCTCATTTCTGCCATGTAATAGCCTTATAACAATTTCATAGGCCAGCAATTATTTTTTCAATAAAAACAACTAACAATCGCATAAATCATGATAAAGCAGCCTGTTAAATCATTGCTAAATTTATGTAGTTTAAAGTTTGAATAGCTTTGCATGCGTGCACGAAGTTTGGCTCAACAGCAATAATATTGATGCTTGCTTTTTATCTGTTCACATAACTATTTTGAAGATTCCTTATTTTTTCATATAAGTGCAATCAATGGATTTGAAACAATAAATTTAAAATAATAGGACATTTCACGTAAAATTCTGAATAAAAATACCTTTTTCCGTTTTCACTGACGCTCAAGTTGTAATAATGGTCAAAGTAACCGCAATCAGCGGTAATTAAAGCGTAGTGGATTCCCTCGGTAGATTTGCTGTCAAATTAAAATGAAGTAGCCAGGTGTAGCCAAATATCTAGAAGATAAGCCAAATATTCTAATCTCTTGTTTACGCATTTTTCCTCATTCCATCGCAAATATTTTCATTTGAACGGATTACGCTCTAAATGTCCCGCTGTAGCGGCAGCACAAGAAGGCTCGCTGTGTGAAACCCAATGATGCGCAAATTCACCATTAGCATTTGCTGGCCATCCATTATGAGATAGAACTGTCAAATTGACGCTCATCCAGCCCGCAACGTCCTCTCGAATCAGTCTACGCCTCACCGACTTTGTCACGGCCACCGACAATGTGACATTGATCGCGTCAAGCACTGGGACCGTACATTTATGGGTCAAAAACATGTCATCAAGAACTTGTCCTTCTTTCTTCAAAACAACCTGCAGCTCTAGCACTTGCTGCAGTCTTTAATGCTTGTGTTACTAACCAATCTAATAATACGGCAAATTCAATGCTTAAAGATTAAATTTGTAATGATTTTACAAATTTGATTTATTTATAATTAAATTGGCTTTCATATATTTATAGTGAATCGGTGCATAGACCTTCACTGAAATCGTTTAAAATTCAAAGATACATTATTCGTCAATGTTCGTGGAGAGTCACTTAAGATAAAAATTTTTATTAATTAATGTAAGTATTGGCATGTCAGAGTGTAGGGGCTGATATAGAAAAAAAGTAGCTTCTCCACAGTTTAGTTTAGTCGGTGAAGTTAAACCATTTATAAAAACGAATCTATCCTCATTAGATGTACATGCAGTTTCCTATGCCTTGTACTACATTTTCATGGCAAATCAATTTCCAAGGACCGGTATCAATTATTACTGAATAAATACTGTATGTTCGATCGATACGATATGATCGATGTTAGTTACTACTGCGATATTTCCTAGACAAGTGAAGTTTTTCGTCATGCCTTACATTCTCGCAGGGAATGTAACCATTATAATAACTAATCCGCCGCAGGACATTCGTGATGCTCTTAGAGAGGAAAGCCTGAAAACTGATAAAATTTTATTGGTCGTAATTCATTGGTGTTTCTCCAAGATATTGGGCTTTTATGAGGCGTTAAGAGGTTCATAATCT